TCATATTTCTTTTTTTTTTAGACAAAATAGATATTGTTAGCAGGATCCCACTTCTAAACTGTTAAAATGTCGATGATTTTTTTTTTTTTTTTCGATTGTGAAAGTCTCCCTTTGGGGAATGTCTCAGAAGTGTCAATATACGGAACTTATTTTCAAAGCAAATCTTTCTTCATTGATACGAGTGAACAAGATGTCTTAAGCAGTGTCATGACAAGACAATAAATAAGTCAACATTTTGAACAGAACCTTAACCAGGGAGTTAAACCCTATTTTCTGCCATCATTTGCAGAGTCACTACCATTTTTTGACTAGTTTTGAAACAGAATACGTAGAAATAGAAAAAAATAAAGAAAATAAAAGCAAGAAATAAACCTGAGGGTTAAAAGGAAAAAAATACTCCGAAAATGCTCTGATTGAAGCCTTGCGGTTCAGATTCAAGTCGTAAACAATATGGCGCCTAGAAATTTGGCGCCCGAAAGAGACCAGCGAACAGAAATGAGCAGTGACATGCGAAAATCACGGGAGAATATCGCCAGCATTTTTCAAAGAGTCGTTGACCCAACAACATCTGACAAATAAAACTTCCTTTTGCACGGTTATTATAATTTTTGCACGCTTTTTTTAATTTGTCCCGGATTTGGCAAGGCAGAAGCCATCTTTATTCTGCGACCGGACAGGAAAATATGGTTTTCCAAATAGAAGTTGAATCATTAAGAAAAAAATAGCAAACGGCTGTATTGTTTATAGTATTGTCATATCGCGTGTGTGGTACGGACATATCAGATGCAAATACGAGGGCATATGTCGGGTCTTTGAGTCACAAACAACTTTTATTTTGCCATCTCTGATCAAACCTATTCCAGGAAAATACATCAGCCGTTCAATATATATATATATATATATATATATATTTATATATATATATATATATATATATATATATATATATATATATATATATATATATATATATATATATATATATGTATATTCACACAGATATATATATATATATATATGTATATATTATATACGGATATATATATATATATATATATATATATATATATATAAAAGAAAATATGTTGTAGTGGTTCCAACGAGAGAAAAGTATGTATATTAATAAGAAGAGGGGTGCCGCAAACGTTTTTTGGTTGTAATGTGGATTTATTGAGAAAAAAATATTATACTTTGTTTTACATTTTCTCAATAAATCCATTAAATAAACCAAATGGCAAAAACGTTTATATATATATATATATATATATATATATATATATATATATATATATATATATATATATATATACTGTGTGTATAGGAGCGTGTAAAATTTCAGATACAACGAAAATATAAAAGGAAAATCAGAATAATTTTTTTTTTTTTTCTTTTATATATATATATATATATATATATATATATATATATATATATATATATATATATATATATGTATATATATATATATAGAGAGAGAGAGAGAGAAAAGGGTGATTTTGTAAGTATAGCTTAGATGTTTCACTAAAAGATGGAACACGCAGTAAGTCTCAAAATCTTAATTGTTCTAGGGAAACTAGCTTGTCAACGATTACACCTCGTCGAGGTTCACAAATATAAGTTACTAAATAAATTGTGGGTGTGCATATATATATATATATATATATATATATATATATATATATATATATATTTCGTTTATAGGTGCAGTTTAATTTATAATTACATGAATCATTCATACAAAAAACAAATATAGACGTTAATGATTTAAATGGCGAGAATACATCTTCGCAAACAATTTCAATAAGGTACACTAACCCCGAACCTGTATATGAAGGAAAGCCGTATGTGGAACGTCACTTTCTTTGATGACGGAGTGAAACAATAGTGCTTGTTGATAGCAGTTTGATGATAAATGGATTGAGTGTTTAATGTTGACTGGTCTGTCGAGATTTTTTTTTCTTGCCGGCAAACACCGATAATTTTTTTATGTATATTTTTCCTCTCAAACAAATGCAAAAAAGGAAGTGACGTTTCACATACGGCTTGCCTGCAAGCAGTATTGTTCATAACCATTTTCGGTTCTCACCCGTCGAAGTGCAGTTGAAATGCACTGAAACAAAGTTACATCTTTGTAGTGAATAAAATGGTTTTGTCTATATGATAAAATTATAATAAATAAATAATAATCGCCCCTACTATCGGTATCGAGCCCTCTTTTGGATTAATGCTGTCAACATTGAAATATACATATTACTTTCGTTCTCGTCGCATCGGATATATATATATATATATATATATATATATATATATATATATATCTATTGTGTGTGTGTGTGTGTGTGTGTGTGTGTGTCTGTGTGTGTCTGTCTGTCTGTATGTATGCATTTAGGTGTGTGCGCATATGCAAAATATTTCAAATACAAATAAAAATCTAACTCTAAAAACAATATAAATAAAAGAAAAGACAAGAGGAAGCCATTTTTGGTGTCAACGCGTTTCGTTCCGAGAGGAAACTTATCAAGGCTAGTGTGAACATTTTTAATTGGTATCTTGAATATATACACATGATCAAAATATGTTCTCAAACTTTGAATTAAAGAAAGCTATAAAATATTCTACAACCTTACAGTTTAAGGGAAGACAAAGTAAAGAGTATAA